ATTGCAGAGTCAGTTCCTATTGTAGAGAGGGGAAAGTGTGATAAAGCGAATTGTAGTTTTGTGCTTATTTTAAGAACGCCAATATTTAGTTTGGTTATACCCACAGTCACATCCACTTTCTTGAGTTCGAAATTCAATTCCTGTGTGATTAGTATGAATTACTCTTTTCACTTCCTTATTGTCCATTACATCTTCTTTCTTAAATTATTTTTGTCATGTTTCCTTTTCAAGTTGTTTTTCTTATTTCAGAGGAAGAAATGCCACTATGGCAGATGTAATTATTGCCACTATGGCAGATGTAATTATTGCCACTATGGATGATGTAATTATTGCCACTATGGCAGACGTAATTATTGCCACTATGGCAGATGTAATTATTGCCACTATGGCAGATGTAATTATTGCCACTATGGCAGATGTAATTATTGCCACTATGGCAGATGTAATTATTGCCACTATGGCAGACGTAATTATTGCCACTATGGCAGATGTAATTATTGCCACTATGGCAGACGTAATTATTGCCACTATGGCAGATGTAATTATTGCCACTATGGCAGATGTAATTATTACCAGTTACACCAACCAGGCCTATGCCTTGTTTCGAACACCCTACCACGTAGTAATTAAGTATACAGAGGTGAAACAGTATCTAATCTCACAAAATTTGTTGCAGAAATCTGCAAAATGAAGTCTCTGCAATTAAAAAAAAATTCTGGTTAACTTCCTAAACGGAATTGGAAGTTTTTAACCCATATATCGTAAGGAAAAATTACCACGCCTTTGGTTACAAATACGGAATGGTTACCGTCGCCACTATACAAAACTGGGAAGTTTCATGCGTGGGAAATAACTTTTCCATTCACGCTCTCTCACACTATCTATACGCTCGTATAGTAAATTTGGAAATACTTCCTTAGAGTGTGGCCAGCAACATGTTGTATTGTCGTTTTCCAATCATCGCCTGGTAACGTACTTGCCCGCCAACAGCCCAGCCAGTAAAGAAACTTTCGCAGCAAGCAGCAGCAGCCAATCAGACACAATGCCTACTCTTAGCCTCGCACAGCCAATCGGAGAATGGGTACTCTCACAGCAGATGAACCACCACGTCTGTTCGTCTATGAAGTACTTATCTCCTGTGTCACCCTACCTACCCTGCAGAAAGTGATTCATATACATACACATGTTGAAGTTTGCAGGAGCTCAGTTCAGGAAATAGGCAGGAAACGGGATTACTCGCTCACTTCAGTTGCATGATTTTTTTTTTTCAATTGGGGTTTGGCTTTATCAGCCTAGAGCAGAAGATCCTTCCTGTTAGTCAATGATGGATCACACAGCTCACGGTATATTTCGACAGTTACACCACATTGCGAGACAGTGATCATGGTTTAAACCAGGAGGACATAATAAAGCCCTGTCCTGTACACCATACTAAAACTAAAAACTCGGTGTCATCCTTGGGGTTTTGAAATATTTTGGGCCATTTCGCTGAGGTTAAACCACTGGTCCACTTCGCACGTGATCGTCACAAGTTGGTACTAGTTTTCTAGTTGTCTTTTTCCTCTTCCCATATCCTCTTTCTTCTCTATAGACGGTCGTAATTCGACTGATATGGTAATTCTCTACCATTTTACAAGTCCCCAGAGGATGGTGGGTGAATTAGCCTCCATGTATGTCTTTGAAGCGTCGTTATTAACTCCATAACTCAACATAGCGGGTGTATTCATCATTGAAGTATAAAGTGTTGCAGAATTCTAAAACCATGATCGGCAATGAACAAGGCCAGTAGCTTGCACAAATAGAAACTGAGCGTTCCTATGGACAGTCGTACTGGGTGCTGCTGGCATAGAGACTTTTTATAACAGTTTGCTACATTTCTAGACAAAGGGAACTCTTGTGGTACGTTCCATTGTCTAATGCGTTATAAGAAATTCTTTATTAACATGCCAGACCACGATCTCATATTTTGCAAGGACCGAAATTAAAAATGAATGTGTAAATTAAGGTGCGAACCCTTGACCTTAGTCATCTGCCTTGGCTATCATTGTGACACTGGTCAAGGCCATTAAAATATTCAAATCAGTGACGAATCAGCCATTCTGATGTTTGTGTACACTTCAAGAGCTCAATATTACTATATATATATATAGTTGCAAAATGTCCCATTTGGAACTCCTGCAACAAGATGACTTGCAAATTATGTCATTATAATATGTAACACGGCATTATGACACGGATACATCGGACCTGTAAAATATGAAGTAAGGAGAGATTAACGTGGACAGTGTACGTTTCGGTCATTGTATTTCCGAACAGCCTTGTATATTGTGAAATGATTAAACGTATTTAATGTTGTGAAAAGTGATACATGTTTTAACGTTATCATTCCAAATTACTCTGTTCCTTTTCTAACAGAACTCCGCGAGGAATACAAAATCACGAAGTACGGAAATCAAAACGAACTACAATTAATCAACAATTGATTTGGTATTGCATTAAGACCGTATTTTTCCTCAAATAAAATTCAATAGATTTTGTAGACACTATAATTATTTTTATTTCATTACATTATTTTCCATTATCTTCAGTACCAGGGCGGGTATTAAACGCAAGTAATGCAAAAATTAAGCCCCCCCCACCCTCCCACGGCAAAAACCCATGACAGCAGCTGTTTCCAAACTAACGACCTCCGCTATAGTAACTGGAGATGTCTACGTGTTAGTCGGGGGAAAGTAACAATAATGAAGGGTTGATGGGCTTCACAGCAACTACAAAAAAAATGTGTATAATATTCTTAAATGGTTTGTTGTTTACAAGTCGTTTAAACACTCTCCTGAAAAAAAAAAAAAAAAAAAAAGTTAAAAATTAATAAAAGGAGTTTATGATGTAACTAATTGCATAAGTGGAAAATAAGATATACTTTCGACCGGGATTGAATTAAGAGCCTTGTGCATGTGTGGAAGCTATGATAATCACTACACTACATAAACACAGCGGAATAAGTGCTTCCGGTAAGTTTCTTACCTAAAATGTTTTACAGTACATAAAAAGTTTTTCCTTTTTTTTTTTTTTTTTAGTATTGCTAAGTTATTATTGCAAGGTGTGTATTAAACTTTTAGTATAGAAGAAAATATTTAGTTAGCTGAACAATTCTAGAGTGTTGGTTTTAGTGCTATGGCATGTAACATAACGGAGTCCAAAATAATTAGTAAAGACCCGTAAATGTCGCGAATTCGTTTGAGAACAACCTATACTTCACACACGTGTGCCTTTGATTCCTTTTCAAATTTTGTCGCAGTTTGTAAGCCTCGCTCTGGACAAATATATGGCAATAACTGAACTACAAGGAAAAAAAGAACCAATTCCCATGCTACCTATTCTGGGGCAAAAATTTGGCTACCAGCCGATGAACAACTAGTTGAGGCTCTAGTACACTAAGGATTTTGGCTGGTTATCAAATGAATCCACGAGATTTCAGCGTCTCTTATAGTTAGGCCGTCCGTAGTTAGGATTTATGTTTCTTATAAGCCGTATTCGAAACGTAATTTTATGATACAATTGAATATGATAGGTTAAGACAGGATTCGCAATCAACAACACAAGAAGATATTTCTATGAAAACGATTTTGAACTACACGTTATGTTTATCAGCTTTGATGTACAGTCAGTGGACGATAAAAACATCTTTTTTTTTTCTATTTTGTGATGTGATATGATTTCAAATCAGAATTAATTGAATATTTTGAAAGTAAATGACACTGATAATGTAAATGCCAATAGCTTAATATCAAAGGAAATATTTTTTTAAGCAGAATACTTATCAATAGGAAAATGTATGGAATATCAAGCCAAAAATGATCCAAACCACAAGTAAGAATTTGTTTTATAAAATTTTAACTATTATTATATTTCAGGAAGTGAAATACTGTAAAGGAGGCTCTCAAGACCTCGCTGTTAAGAGCCGCCCAAATCTCTTCACTCAATCTGTAAAAGAGTTTTTCTTGCATGGGCCATGAGGAGGGCCATTCGCCTATTCATGGAGACCTGAAAACTTCGCGAGTTCAATGGCCTGCAGACTAGATTCTACAGTCTTATGTACAAATTTGTCGATGTCAACTGCCACTAAAGGTGATATTTTAGGATTGTATCGAAGATAGGGGGGATAGGGGAAGGAGATTTCCCCTCACCCACCTCCACACTTCTTTCCCGATTAATTCGCACCCTTGTTAATTTTATACTAATGTACATTTGATCGTATGCAAAAAAAATTAGGAGTTAACTAACATCATGTCTTAATACGCACTTCGTGTTCCTTTGCGTGCCAGGAAAGCTAAAACTGTATGTTACTCTAGCGAAGCGATTAGCCTTCGGGAACATAAAAGACACTTAAACTCACAAATAATGAAAATTAGAAATAATAAGATGCTCTGTGTTTACTAGTAGGTACACTGCAAAGCCAAGTCTCGCATATTAACAAAGTCAGTCCAGTTGTCATCTCGATTGTTAATTGTTGTTACCAGAACTTACATTTAGAGACGACATGGTATTCCCGGTAAGTTATGCCCTTAACTCAGATTGTTGTCTCTGAGGTTGGGATAAACACAGTGTAACTACGCCAAACCACGAGAATCCAGCTATATTCTATTCACGGTAAAGTGAGCACTATCGAAAGCCCTCTTATTTGGAAAAATAGTCAATAAATTTATTTTATTCTAGCCTTATACGTTAACTTCCAAGTGGGGTGGGATATACACACTGTGCTTATTACTTACATTTCAATATTTGTTTAAAAAATTGGGGTGGAAGGATAAAAATTATAAGCTATTGGTGTAACAGTGTCAACGTGCATCTGTGAAGGGTTTTATATGCTTTCATTATTGTAATTGAAGTAGAAGCAACCCGACTCATAATAAGCATAGAGCTACCATGTGCTCGATGTAATGACGTCTGTCTAATGAATGATTTTACCATGCCAAGAATAAGTTAAAGGTAAGCAGCTGCGCCCAGCGTGGGGCTCGAACCCACGACTTACGATGAAGGGCATCGTGCTCTCCCGATTGAGCTATAGCCGGGCCTCTCGGTGGTGGCCAACTTATTTGTTATTTTATCAGTATCGCATTAACTGGTGATTACCCTGTGATATGGACGGAATATCAGCTGATGTTTGGTTTTCGAATTCCTCCTAATGGGACCGTGACTACCACATTACATAACTGTGGTTGTATCCGGACATCAGCTATGTACCATTGGACCGGAAGGGAGGGAGGCTATTAAAAGTCACTATAATGAGCAACGGACACAGCTGTTTCGCTTGCCGGAATTACGTAACCTGCTTTTCTTTACGTTTTCATGCCGCAACAAAGCACACGAAAGAAGGTTCGGGCACCATCGAAGACAATACTTTCGGTAGACAATTCTCATACGTATACGAACATGTTTGGTTTCTTGTACCTTGCACGAACTACGTGTTTGCAAACCAACACTTGCGTTCTACATTCTGCATTTCGGCAACACAATTATGACGCGAAGCTCGAGTAGTTTTTACTAAATGCGCTTCTTTTGCCAATAGTGACGTCCATAGAGCTCGATCTTTGCGGTGTCATACACGGATTTTGTCATTAGCTGGCTTGAAAACTATATTTCCATGCTCTGTAAAGCCAAAACATATTTTGCATGCTATGTGGTGTTGCCGCTGCTTGAATGCAGTTGTGTTTCATGACTTGGCGGGAAAAAGAATGAACCCTCCTTCGTAAGTTAGGTGATATTACTTGGATCCTGTAGCAGAGGCCTGGTAATTCCTTGGCGTTCACTCGGAATACCCAGAGAATAACCCCTTTCATTGCTAGACATCCCCGCACATGAACCAGCCTATTCCGCCGGAGCTATAGACAAATGCACACATCTATGAACACCCCTCCAACTCCCAATCAGAAACAGTACTTGTCGGATTTTTAAAACAATCACGTCACTGAACTCACCGTTTAATCACCTGTTACGTTAGTGGAATAAATGGGTGCTTGCGAATGTAAAAAAAAAAGTTTATATCGTTTATCTCAGTTCTTAATTAAGCCTACATCCCGAAACAAACAAAGAGGGTATCTTATGCGCCCTGCAGTGCAATTTTCGACTCTAAAATAAAAATTTCCAAACCTTCAGCAGTTCTGAAGTCATTTGATGTGTTTATCTTAGTAGAATAATCCTGTTAAAAATTTTGGTTACGTGTCTACGTTAGCAAAAAGAGACATTGAATTTACTTTATTAACAAAATAATATATATGCCTACGTGTATATAAAGAATTTATCACTGCATGATTTGACAATATTAACTGTTTCTTGAATATCCATTGCATCGCAGAGATTGTTTCTTTATTACAAGGTGATTTGCGTTTGAATATCTAACTGCAAATATAATATATTGTTCTACTAAAAATGGTACGTAACTGGTGATTCAAGTTCGGTGTAGTTATGTCTCGTCTCGTGTAACAAATAATTTAATTGCGCTGCTGGCTTCGCGCAGTTTTTCCTTTGCGTATCTCGTTTCCATATAGATTGGAAATACTGGAAACCGACAAATATGGAATACCATTTCAGCATGAAAAACCTTTATGGGGTATGCGAAAATGGGTGTTGTGATTATTGCTATAGGAACTAGAATTACAGTTATAAAATAAATTTGGAGAAAGTAAAAATTACATTGAAATTATTAAAACTATACAGCATTATATCTAAAAATAACACTGAAACACTAATTGATATATAAATAAATATGAATCAGATGTTTAATTTTGCTAATAATTATTCAATTGAAAAATATTAATTGGAAGGATTATAGTGCATTCAAGGATAATTACAACTTTCTGAAGCCCTGCTAAGGTTCTACTTTCAGGGTATTACTCAACAGTACAATAAGATAAATAATGCCGGCATAAATTAGATGCACGGAAAGGTTCGACTGAGTAAAATATGTTAATTGAATGTCTTATATTCTAAAGGACCATCAACAGAAAGAATTTCGATGCCGTTCAATTTCGAAAATAGCATCGGCGAAATCCGAAATTACAGTAAAATTTATTCGTGCAAAATAGGGCTCATAATTACTATCGTTTTGAATGTTATTCAATAAATGCTGTGAGTAGATCAAATTCTATCTATTTTATTGGACCACGTTACCTTGCATTATTTGTACTGTGTTGTTGAAACAAAATAGTGGCGTCTTAAAACTGAAATAAAGCAAAACCAATAACGTAGTCTTGTAGAAGTCGGAGACCAAATAACGACTGTACCCAACTAGATAGGCTTTGTGCACACCAGGAGAAAGGTGACCTGGTAAACTACCAGTGGCTGGATACCGCCGCAACTGGAACAGACATATCTGCAGTGTACCAGAGATTTACAGTTTTCCAGTGGGTAAAATCGGGAACCGCGGAATATGAAATGTTAAAAACCAAAATGAGTACTTTGTGAGGTAATTAATGCTTTTAATCAAATTCAAAAGATGTTTCCGCCCGGGATCGAACCGGGGACCTTGCGCGTGTGAGGCGCACGTGATAACCACTACACTACGGAAACGTTGTTAAGGCGTGTTGATCACTGTAATGAATTTAAGTAGACCAATTGGCAAAAGAATTGGATAAGGGCAAGAAGTTTCACTCTTATAATGTACATGAATGAAAATATTTAATTTAGATTTTTTAATTATTTTTGAGCGAAAGACTATTTATTGGATGAACTATAGTCCATTCACTGTTACTTCCAACATTTCTGAGGCCCTGCTAAAGTAGTAATTTCAGGTTATTATCCGTCTCATGCAAGTAAAGCGTAACTAAATCTAGAAAATTACACAGATTGATAACGTACTGTATATTTGTTCGTACTTATTTTAATAGCTTGTTGTATGAGAACTATTTATTACTTGGCATTCCAAACACAGATATTTTATCCTTGTTGTTATGAATATTAATTATAAATTAAATATAGTTTATACGTAAAAGTTAAGCAAAACTTCAATTTAACCAAACAGGGGACAATATTGTGGTAAAAAATGTACAAAACGCTTCGATACATGACATATTTAAGAAATAACCCAACACGCTATAAATGGGGTGATTTTTCAATGGTTCGAATCAAATGTCTCAAGATATCAAGAATAGACTCAGGGTGAGGCATTTAAAGCAGGCCACCTTAATAAATCGCCCACTTGTAAAGATAGAATAAAATGGTTCAGACGAACTTTGTTTGGGGTGAAAGGGGCTATAATCTGACGTTAACAGTTTGGTGTTACGTCGAGGGGTGAAGGAGATATGGGAGTCAACTTCAGTTTTGTAAATGGGATTACTTACTTTATTATACACCTCTGAACAGCTCTTCGCAAGATGAATGCAAACATGTGTCAAACGAGCTAGAAAGGTGAACATTAAACCACATCGTCCCATTTAACATACGAGGTTGACCCTCATACTTCCGTCATCCCTCGGCGTACAACACATTTTCTTCTATCGTTGCAAGTGGCCGATATTTTAGGGTGGCCTGTTTTAAATGCCTCACCCGGTATACAGGATGCTCGGAAATTCCCCTTACAAACTTCTAGGACTTGTAGAGGGGGCTGAGTAGACGATCTTTTAAATAGGAACCCATGTCTGAAAACGCACCGTTACCGCGCTACAGCCATTTCAAATCAGGCGTATCACTCGTTCACTTCCACTGAGGGAAAGAGCAGTGTAGCGGATGTTCCTGTGTTGGTATGCAACCGGGTAGGCAGTACATTACTTCAAACAATCGCCTGAAGGTACGTGACGTCTACCCTGCCACGGTATTCGTCTACCCTGCCACGGTATTCTGCCTCGATCCCCATTCACCCGCCTTTGCGCTTCCGATCAACATGGTTGAGTACACGTTTTCCGAAATACACATACATGATACTCGTGTAATGGAAGAGCAGCTTGTTGGCTCTATGAACAGCGTTATCTACAACGTGCGACGCTATCGCATACCCTTTTCGCCAGAACTACGGAGGAGCGGCTCCGAGAACAAGGTACCTCCACCGCCGACAGGAACGACTGTGGTGCTCCAAAGAGACGCCGCGCTCCCGAATTGGAAGAGGCTGTACTTCATCACGTTGAACAGAGCCCGTCAACGAGTACGCGATCAGTTGCGCGTGCAGTGGGTGTCATCTGAGAGGTTCTGCATGACAACAACTACGTCCTTATCACCTCCAAAGGGTACAGACTTTGCGTCCACCCGATTTTGCACCTCGTGTTAACTTCTGTGCTTGGTGCCTACACCGCTGCACCGACGAGCCCCGTTGATTTTGAATAGCTTTACTAGCACGCAAACGGTACGTTTCCGAACATGGGTCCCTATAAAAAAGGTCGTACACTCAGTCCCCTTTACAAGTACTAGATGTTTGTAAGGTGAATTTCCGAGCAACCTGTATAAAATATATTAAAATAAATAATGCTTCAGAGTAAGCTGGAGTTGAAATATGTATATATTGTGAACAACAGTTTTTTTTTTCGTTAACAGTAAAACCCAAAAGGTTGGTAATTAATTGGTGTAATTTTGTTTAATTAGCAGTTATTTATGCTCCAATTTATTATAATGACCATATGATTTGGTGTTTTTTTAAAGTAGTTATACAATTCTCAGCAACAAAATATGTCATGACAAAAAATTATATATTTGGTTCAGACATATTTACAGAAGTCCAATTCAAGGCTTTTAATAGTATTTTTTGCTTCTGTTGCAGTAGTATTATTTTCAATTTTCCCCTCATTACTGTTTTTCTGTGATTTTATATCATTATGCCATATTTTTCTAATTATTCTTTTCCAGGTAACAGTACTTGGGTAGTTTTTTTCTCGGTGGTTCTTCAAACCGTCTGTCTATCTAGAGACTGTTTTTCGCTGCGGATGTTTGTATGATTCTTATTAATGTGTTTGCTTACGTTTCCTCGACGATGGCTGTATAGTTCTGTGCGGGCATATTTTTTCCTATATTTATTAATTTTTTTCATCGCCGGTTCTACAATTTTTCAGCATTGGTCCTGAAATTTTGTTTCTATTTTTCCTTGTTGGC